TTTTCTTTCTCCTTTTTTATAGCTGTTATAATATTGCAGGCCGACTCAAATTGGTCTTTCTTTGAATATTATCTCCTCAGTGTGAATACGGAAGCAATTGCATACATGATTATATATGGCCTCAGTGCTGCTGCAAGGTTGGTGGTAGAACAACAATCCAGCTTTTTATATTGCTCCAAGTTTTTCGATCTATATTCTGTTTCGCACATTGAAACAAAAGTTACTTGTTGTGGTGTAGCACAAGGGTGTCAAATGAATTGGGAGCTGGCAATCCTGACAAAGCTAAGAGGGCAATGGCTGTGACTCTTAAGCTCTCTATGCTTCTTGCTTTAGTTCTTGTTCTCGCTCTAGCGGTCGGTCACAATATCTGGGCCGGCTTCTTCAGTGACAGCCACATAATAGCAGAGCAATTTGCTTCCATGGTGCCTTTGCTTGTAATTTCAATAATTGTAGATTCTGTGCAAGGTGTTTTATCAGGTTAAGATCATCTACTTTTCTAGTAGGGGCAGTAGTTCAACTTTGCTTTTTCCCATTTGAAATTTGTTATCTTTCCTAACTTCTCCATGAAAGTGATTGCTTGTCTTTCAGGTGTGGCCAGAGGATGTGGATGGCAACACTTGACTGTGTATGTAAACATTGTCACATTCTATTTGATTGGCATGACAATTTCCAGTCTTCTTGGGTTTAAGTTAAAACTACATGCCAAGGTAAGACAACACCAGTAAGTTGATTTGGTGTGTTTGTTCTGTTGTTTTTTCTTTTGTCCTTTTCAATTCACATTCGGTACATTTTTGGTGCTTGATTTTGTTACAGGGCTTGTGGATTGGTTTAATCTGTGGTCTCTCCTGTCAAGCTGCCACAGTTTTGTATATTACACAGAGCAAAAAGTGGACTGTGTTGGATTCATCTGATATTGCAGAGAGAGAAAAGCCAGTGTTGGTGTAAACAAGTAATACCACTTGGGCCAACTGTGAGACTAGTTTGTGCATTGCCTTTGTGGTGTGTTGAAGTAAAGCCGAAAGCATGTACTTTGTTAACAAATTTTTGTGCCCTTAAATTTGACTTGACTTTGAAAGCACAAATGCCCTTAAATGAAAGAACCTACCATACATGATGAATTATTTTTAACTACTTGAGTTACATCTTGCCACAAATCACACATCTTAACATAGAAAATCACGATACTTTTTAATGGGCAGATTCTACTTGACCACACTAAATTGTTATTTTGTGAATCAAAGGGCGAAGAGCCATTTTCTTGGCCAAAGGTAATAAAAAGACAAATTTCTGTTTAAAGTGACTTGAGACATTACAATGAGGATGAAATAATCTCTTCGAGTCACTCATTTAAATAATCTTACTCCTTTCAACCATTCTCAATACAAATCTTCAATTATATCCAAGAACTATAAAATTTATCTTAAGCTTCTCCAGCATAGTTGTTATACTCTGATCCTTACCCATTTTGGTGAGAATAAGCGCAAAACGCAGCTTCAATAGACTTGGTATCTGACTTTCCATATTGGAGAACTCCCTATTTGAGTTTGGTGGCTCTCTATATTTATGGCATGTTTACTAATCCGTAATTGAATTAGGAGGAATTGAATTGAGAAGGAGTTGGATTGAGGAGAATTAGATTCTGGATTCCAATTGAAGTTGTTTACTCAATTATGGATTTAGGAGAGTTAGATTCCGGATTCCTATTGAAGTTGTTTACTAAACCATATGGAATTGGGGTAAGAGTGGTACTAATTACTAAAATGTCCTCGTTGTTGGGTTAAAGTAGATGAAAAATTTTAAAATTTTAAAATTGTGTGAGGATATAATGGATGAAAAAGATGAATTCCTAATAGTTTAGTTCTCCAAATATTAGAATACCACCTCTCACCCAATAATTGAATTCCTCCAAAATCCAGAATTCAATTCCTAATTTTGTGTGGCCCCACTTATTTTTTAATTCCTTGATGTGAAGTAAACGCATGAATCCTCCATAGATGGAATTCAATTCCTAATTAGTAAACACACCATTAGAGAGGAGGAGAGAGAAATTGATGTTTCTTCATTCCTTCTTCTTCTCTCTCCCTAGGCGCACAACCCTCTCTCGCCTCTTACTTTTTGATATTTTAATGAATTTTTAATTTTAGTTACTCAAATATTTAAACTTTAGGAAATAATAAAATATTATAAATTAGCCAAAATAGAGAACATTGCTGGAGGAAATAATTTTAAGTAGTTTGCTATAATAGTTTTTTTACCTATTTTAGCTAACATTTGGCTAAAATTTAGAGACTGTCCTAGAGATGGTCCTATCTTAATCCTTAAAAAAGCGGAACACTCAAGAAACCTGGATGATTGCATACACAAGGTTAAGCCTTTAAATTGTTATGTTTATAGTAAGTTATACTACGAGTTGGAACCAAAGACACTCATCTACAAGTCAATACCTTTTTCTACTGGGCCAGACCACATTGACTAAAAAAAATTTCTTAGAGCCATAAGGAAAAACATTATAATAAATAAAAAACCCAACACTTCTCTTTTAGGGAGATTTACTATTATACCTAATATAGGAGTCCAAATTAATATATATATATATATATAAAATGGACTTTAGAAACACACTTAATACTCATTTACAACATAACAAATAGGCTTTTAATTTCTTATAAATTACAAAATTGCCATCAATTTCTTAAAACAAGTCCAATCTCAAAACCTCATAACACTCAATAGGGCATCAAAGTAATTTAATAATCAAAATTAAATTCAAGATTAATCTTTAGCATGTGTTCAAGTTTAGTCAACTTGTTAGATTCTGAATGATGCCTGTGATTTTTATTTGAAGGTTGATACCCTGTTCATGGTTCATGTTTGAGCACACTTTTTTAGCCCACACTAAACAAAATGGGGGAATTTTTACTTCATAGAAATTGATCACTTTCTCACACCTGTTCATGGGCATGTTGTGTGCTATGTTCATGATAGTGAGACAATAACTGAACAGGGTACGGCCAGGGAAGTGTCCTTTTCATCCAAGTTCGAGTCCCCTTGGTATAAATTTGATTTATTTAGAGTAATTTAGACTAAAGAAAAAAAAACTGATCATGTGTGATTGTTTGGATTTTAAAAAAGCTATTAAATTTTGTAGCGTATACCACCTAAGTTTGTCAAGAACTTCAACGTACGGCCACTTCACAAATGTGCTCTCAGTGGCCCTAGTGGAATTCGGTGGACTGGAATTGGAAGAGAGAGAGAATGGCTTGTGCTTCCGAGATGGTTGGCAAGGGTTTGTGAAGGATCATCATTTAAGATTATGCTACTCAATGAAGATGAAATGTGATCAAATGTAATAGAGTTGCAGTACGGAAGTTATGGAAAAACATTTTCAAGAAGTCGTTCTGAAAGTTCTACCATTTCTTAGGGGTGCACTAACTTCTAAGTATTAGGCTTGAGTACAAAATTTATGAACCGTTTCAAGTGAAAATGCTTCTAGCATGAAAGTGTTATAATATTTTTCTCCTTGATATCGATGATGTTCCAAATTGCAGTCAATTCCCAAGGAAGTAGCTGTAACTGAAGGTCTTCTTAGCAAGAAGAGTATGATGATTCAGGATCTAACTGGGAGATCATGGCCTGTTAAACTTAGAGTCCGGGGCAAATTATCTTCTTGTCGTGTGGACATGTCTACAGGTTTGTTAGAATGTTGTAACGTGAACCAGATTATACCCGGGGACACCACCATTTTTGAATTTGTCAAGCCAAGTCTGGCACAAATTCATATTTTCAGAGTGGGTGGCAATTCTGTGGTACTAGCTGCACCTGATGTAAAAGACTAAAGCTAGCCGACTCCAAAGCCTCAACTTGTAATACTTTCGGGAAATGTTTTGACTGCCATATCCACATATCTATTTTAGTGCGTGTGAAATATTTTCTGATTGTTGTGCTTTAGATTTCTCTCTTGTAAATGTGATGCAGATGCACTTGGATAGTGAGTTTATATAACTCGGTGGTTGTGTACATGTAAAGTAGAGTATTTTGTCTTTCGGTAACCATGTTCCATGTCCTTGTTCAGAGTTTTCTTCTTCTTCTATAGTTAGATTGGTAACCATGTTTCATAATCCAAAAATGGAAAAATCAAAACCATCCTTATGTTATTTGGTTCTAAACAGAGCCCGTATCATGTCACTCCATCCAGCCTCCTGCTAATTTACCACCATTGGCTCATCTTTGTTTGTCTCATTTAACACATGCACTAAAAATTATGGTTTTATTTAGAGGGTTTTGAAATACAATAAAGTAAAAGTTTGACCTGCATGGCAATCCTCATAGGGACCACCCTTCCTATGTAGTGCAAGGGGTAAAAGTTTAGGAAGGAAAGTGATCTGGAGGATCCATTTCCTTCTGGTGAAAAGTGACTGAAGGCATTTATTTATGTTTCCCAAATTTACTAAGAAAATTTATGTTTCCAACCACCTTGGTTATACGTTATGATAAGTCCATTCGACACACATGGCAGAAGCAAGCAAACAAGTAGAAGTCAGAAGAACAGCAAAACAAGACCAAAGTCTTGAAGTATCTCAACTTATGGCAGCAGAAGAGTGAAAATAAGGTAAATAGCAGCCGGTATGTTGTCTCTTCACTTAAATAAATAACCAGTAAAAATTGTTCTGATGAACTCTCTGGCAGACCTAGTTGGTACTCTTGACAAAGATTCAAATGGCTAGGCCTAGGAAGCGTTCACCAGAGAAACCATCATTTTTCAAGATCCTAATTGGTGACTTCTCTCAGCGTCTGGTAACATCCATCGATCCCCCCTTCATTTTCACTTTTCAAGATCAATACTAACAGTCATGATTGAATGCATGATTGCCTTTTGTCTTCTTTTTTTTTTTTCTTTTCTTTTTTGGGTTAATTTTTGCAAGATCTTGATTTTCTTTTTGGGGGAAAGTTCGAACAAATAGACATTTGCTACATGACAGTGGTTTAATTTCTGTTTTGATAACATGCTGTTGATGAATGACTTAAATTTTTGTTTTAGTTTACTTCCTTGTTTTTGTGCTTTACTGTCTGCCCATAAATTTGTAAACAAGAAAAAGGAAATGTTAATTATGAACTTTTTATTTAACCATTTTATCTGTAAGGTTTACAATGATTTGTTCCCAAGTTATACAATTTGAATTCTGTTTACCATAAATTTTTGACCTCTCATACATAGCCTAACTATGACATTACTTGCTTGGTTTTTAACCTGAAGCTTTAAGTATATATGGTCTTTTAAGAAGCTGTTAAATTTTGTAGCGTATACCACCTAAGTTTATTAAGAACTTCAATGGGCAATCACTTCGCAAATGTGCTCTTAGAGGCCCTAGTAGACAATGGTGGGATGTGAAATTGGAAGAGAGAGAGAATAGCTTGTTCTTCCGTGATGGTTGGCAGGGTTTTGTGAAAGATCATGTTTTAGAATTTGGGGATCTTTTGGTTTTTAGTTACAATGGCAAATCAAAGTTTAAGGTCAAAATCTATGATAGAAGTGCATGCGAGAAGAATGTAGAAGTAGCCGAGAGAAGAAGTGGTAGTCCAGTTTCTTTGGTGAACAAAGGAAATCAAGCTCAAGTGAAGGATGAAATTGTTGAGCTTGACACTGAAGACTGCGAAAACAAAACGATCGATTCCAACAGAAGAAGTTGTAAGTTACTTTTCTGCATCTAAGATCTAGGGAAGATTTGTATATGCTAATTACTGTAACGTTTTGTTTACTCCTTTACTTTTTAAATTGTTTCTCATTTTTGCACTGTATAGGCAAATATCCCATTTCTGAAAAGAGGCCTATAAGTTTTTGTGTACAAGAAACATCAACTGGATCCATCTTGTTCAAATCAGAGAATCCATGTTTCCTAGTTTGTTCGAGGAAGCAGCATTTACTATATCGTGTGGTGAGTTCTTTGCCACCCTATTTCCTACGTCAATTGTGCTTATGAAAAACTTTTCCTATTGGGATCAGAAAACAGTCAAATAGATCTTTAGAAACACCTTTTCATAACACTTAAAATTATGAATTTTAGGCTTGAATACGAACACTATGAATCGTTTTATGTATAAGTGCTTCTAGCATGTAACATGTTTTGTACTTAAATTTCTTGGTCAAGTTTCAAGCAAACTTGTCTCAATTATTACCAATCAGCTCTATGAACTTTTCCTTAACCCTCCTTGATATCCATGATGTTCTAAATGGCAGACGATTCCGAATGAACTAGCCGTAGCTGAAGGCCTTAGGAGGAGAGATGCTGTCATGCTTCAAGATCCAACTGGGAGATCATGGCTTGTTGAACTTAGAGTGGAATACCGTAATCGTTTGGACATGGCAATAGGTTGGACAGAATGTCGTAAAGCGAACCAAATTTCACCTGGGGACTCCATCATTTTTGAGCTTGTCAAGCAAGGTGTAATGCAATTTCATATTTTCAGAGTAGCAGTGGGAGGCAATAGGTTATCTGTGATAACTGCTGCCCCTAATGTTAAAAATTAAAGCTCGTTGATGCTTTTTTCAAATGTTGAGACTGCAGAATTTGGGTAAAGGATGATCTTATTTGATTCCCCAACCACTCTTCTATTGCTTTCTTTGGGTAGGTCTTTGAGACCCTGTGCCACCACAAGAAGTAATCCTTGTTAATGTGCAAAATAGAACTAGACTTTGAAAGAATTGCAGCAGCACCAAAACACAGTTTGAGATCCAATGCTTGGATCAAAAGCCACTGATGGTCTATGACTCATTAACACATGCACTGAAATTAGATTTGAATGAAATCTAATTTCAGTGCATGTATTTAAGTTCAAGGTCAAAGTTTTGGGAAGGAAACTGATCTGGAGGATCCATCTCTTTCTGGGAAAAGTGAGGACAACATTGGAAGAAGATAAAATGTTTTCCAAACTGACCAAAATAATGAATGTTTCTCCAAACCAGCTTGGTTTTATGTTATAACCTCTAAGTGCGTGCCATACACATGGCAGAAGCAGAACAAGCAGCAAACAAAGGACAGAAGAAAAGCAAAACATGAGCTACACAGAGCAGCCACTCCTGAAAAGCGTGTCTGAATTTAGGTTCTCAAAACAACAGCTCACTATTTTTAAGTGCATGTTATACACATGGCAGCAGAAGGTGTTGTATGACTGAAGACCAGCATTTAAGAGGCTAAATAGCTGCAGGATTGTCTCATCGCTTAAATTAAGAACCATATTTTTTTATTTTTTTTATTTTTTTAATTTAAAATTTAAAATTTTCAATAAAGCTCATTGCCACAGAGGACCATCTGCCCCAGTTTGGATACTCTTGGTCTTGGTAGAGGCTCAAATGGCTAGGAAGCTAAGTAAGCCTTCACTAAAGAAACAATCATTTTTCAAGGTCCTGCTTGGCGACTTCTATCAGCATCTGGTAACATGCATCCTACCTTCTTTTCCACTTTTTCAAGATCAATTCTTACATTCATGATCAATGCATGGTTGCCCTTTTTTCTTTTTTGGTTCATTTGAATAAGATCTTAACTTTCTGTACGTGTTCAAGTTTAATCAGTATATTACATTCAGAGTGATGCACACAAATTTCAGCTGAAAGGTTAACTACCCTGTTCATGGTTTAAGTCCACTCCTTTTCAGTTACCAAATACTTAGCATATGCAACTTGAGTTATGTGAGATTTTCTTGGTTTTAAGAAGCATATGTTCTATGATTTATGAGAAGCTGTTAAATTTTGTAGCGTTTACCACCTGTGTTTATCGAGAAGTTAGATGGGCAATCACTTCCCAAATGTGCTCTTAGAGGCCCTAATGGGAAACTGTGGACTGTGGAATTGGAAGAGAGGGAGAATGGCTTTTTCTTCCATGATGGTTGGCAGGGTTTTGTGAGGGATCATTGTTTAGAAATCGGAAATTTTTTGGTTTTCGACTATGATGGTGACTCAAAGTTTGATGTCACAATTTATGAACCAACTGGCTGTGAAAAGGATGTAGAAGCAGCCAAGAGGAGAAATGGTAATCCTGTTTCCTCTGTCAAAGATGAAATTGTTGACATTGAGACTGAAAACTACAACAAAGAAAGTAAAAGCAAAACCATCAATGCTGAAAGAACAAGTCGTAAGTTCTACTCCATCTTAAATCTACTTTTGAACAGCTAGGGAAGTTTTGTATGTGCTGTTTAGTATTTACTCTAACGGCTCGTTTACGTGCTTTTTCTTCTTAAATCATGTCCCAATTTGGCATGTGTAGGCAAGTATGTCATGTCTGGAAAGAGACCTGCAAATGACTGTGTAGAAGAAACATCAACTGGATCCATCTTGTTCAAATCGGAGAATTCATGTTTCATAAAAATTCTGACGAAAATACTATATCCAGTGGTGAGTACTTTGTCATCCAATACTTAATCATGTTTTCGAAAGCCTTTCAATGTGGTGGTTGGTAAATGGTAAAAGAGAACACAACCTTGAGTCAAAATTATGTGACTTAAGATGAAATGTATGCAATAAGAGTGTGCAGTAGGTGAGTTGTTGAAAAACTATCATAAAGACATCATTCTTGACAGTTCCACCATTTGTTAGGGGTATACAAAATTATAAGTTTTAGTATAGAGTACAAAGTTTATGAACAAGTTTTTACTTTGATGTTCCAATTGCAGACAGTTCCAAAGGAACTAGCCATAGCTGAAGGTCTTGTGAGGCAGAAGAGTGTAAAGCTTCAAGATCCAGCTGGGAGATCATGGATTGTTAAACTTAGAGTCCACAGGTCACCGTATCTTCGTTTCGACATGACGAAAGGTTGGGCAAAATGTTGTAGAGCAAACCAGATTTCACAAGGGGACACCATCGTTTTTGAGTTTGTGAAACCAAGTGTAATGCAAATTCATATCTACAGAGGAGGAAGAGTTGGAGGCAGTGGGTGTTCTGTTGTACTCGTTAACCCCGGCCTGAAAACCTAAGCTATTTTTACTCTAGAGTTTCGCATTGCGATACTTTTAAAAAATGTTTGACTGCAATCCATTTTGGCTAAGTGATGATCTTCTTGTATTTTATTAGGTTAGTTTTCATTTTCCAGTCATTCTTTCTACTACTCTTTAGTGCCGCCTGTGAAATATTTAACGATTGTTTTACTTGATTCAATTGAGACAGTTTTATTTATTTATTTTGGGGTTGGGGGAAATCAAACATACGACCTTGGGTGTGACAAATGTTACCAATTAACCGGGAAAGGTTTTTCGCTTAGATTTTAGGTTTTAGCTTCCAATTTTAGTAGCTCAAAACTTGAGAGTTAAACTCTGCTAGGAATGAGATTAGAAAATCGGTTAAAGAAACTTACAAAAATAGTGGTTTGAAACACCTTGCTCCTAGGAGTCTAAAATAAGGGAAACACTTGTCTTCTTACTTCCTACCAATCACATTTTGATGAAAAAAAAATTCTTTATTCATCACCAATGTAACATTTTGATTAAAAAAAATTCCTTATTCGTCACCAATGTAACTATGTAATTCTAAATCTACACTTGTCTTCCTACTTCCTGCTAATCACACTTGTTTTCCTACTTCCGACTAGCAAAAATTCCAAATCTAAACATATACCAATGTAATTCTCAAAATCCTCACACATCCATACTTCAATAAATCTAATTAACTCCTAAATTAAAAATAATTTTTTTAGGAAACCTCAATTCAACGAGGACAAGTATTAATAAAGAATTACAAATAAAAAGACGCTAAAAATAAAGATAAAAAATTGTGAGTGATATTTTCCCCCCTACACCAAAAAAAAAAAAAAAAAAAAAAAATCACGATTGAAGGCATTTATTATGCATATATATGGAATAAAGGGAATTTATGTTTTTGAAACCTACCTAAACACGGAAAAAGTTAATGTTATCCTTTTTCAGAATACCTTGGGTTATAAGTTTATATGAGATGGCTGAACCACGACGAGAAAAACAGAGAGGCCCTAGCAAGCAAGCATCGCCTGTTCTGCTTTTTCCCTGCCGATAAAACTTGCCCACAAAAGCTAGCTACACAGAAAACCCACTCCTAAAAAGCTTTGATCTTTGAAGGTTTCGTTGAAGACTGACGACTTGGTTCAAATGGCAAGGAAACTTATGAAGCGTTCAGTAAAGAAAGAATCGTTTTTCAAGATCCTGCTTGGTGACTTCTCTAAGCATCTGGTAACATCTTTGCCTTCTTTTTTTCACTTTTCAAGATCAATTTTTTTACAGTCTTGAACGGATGCACGATTGCATGTCTTCTTTCTGTGTTTCTTTGGGTTCATACTTCAAGATTAATTGCGAATTTGAGTGAATGGTTAATATAGTTAATACCCTGTTCATGGTTTATATTTGGGTCGACTTCTTTTTAATTATATTGGTCAATCATGAATAAAATCACAATTATGTGTTTGGTTGCCAAGAAAGTGAGAGAAGTCGGAGAGAAAATTTATGGCAACTATACTAGCATACAACTCACTAGGTTGACTTATTTGACTCAAGCCTTGACCTTGAGATGACTGAGTTGCTTTTCTGTGGATTGTTTGACAAATTACAACAAAGAAATGCTTAAATGATTTGGAAGGTTTTCAAAGAATTGCTTGAATGATTTCCAAGTGTTTGATTATTTTCCTGTATTAGTATTGCGATGCTATTAAGTTTGGATTATGTTTATTAAATGATTCTTGCTTTGTTTTAAGCACATGTACCGTGGTTTTTCAAAAGGCTATTGAATTTTGCAGCGTATACCACCTGCGTTTATCAAGAACTTCAGCGGAGGATCACTTCGCAAATGTTCTCTTAGGGGCCCAAGTGGGAAAGTGAGGGCTGTGGAATTGGAAGAGAGAGAGAATGGCTTGTTCTTCTCTAAGGGTTGGCAGGGTTTTGTGAAGGGTCATCATTTAGAAGTTGGGAATTTCCTGGTTTTCCGTTATGATGGTGAATCAAAGTTCAAAGTCACAATCTATGATAGAAGTGCCTGTGAGAAGGATGTAGAGGTAGCCGAGAGGGGGATTGGCAGTTCAGATTCCATCGAAAGTAAAGGAAATCAAGTTAGAGTAAAAGAGGAAATTATAGACCTTGAAACTGAAAACTACAACGAAGACTATGAAAACAAAACAAGTATTGCTAACAGAAGAAATTGTAAGTTATACTCTATTTTACTTCCCTACATCTAGGGAAGATTTGTATGTGTGTTTTCTGTACTGTTAATTATGTTTCAATTTGGTGATGAATAGGCAATGCCATGTCTGGAAAGAAACCTACAACTGATTATGTAGAGGAAACTTCAAGTGAATGCATCTCATTCAAATCGGATCATCGATGTTTTATGGAAACTATGAAGAGGCATTACCGATATTGCTTGGTGAGTACTTTGTCACCAATTCTTGAGCCATTGTGTTTTTTGAGAACCTTTCCATATTTGGTTGGATTAGAGTAAAAGATATATATATTTTTTTGGAGAAAACATAGTAAAAGAGTTGCAGTGTGGAAGTTAATGGAAAAACATCTTCAATAAATTTTTCTTGAAGTTCTACCCCTTGTTACGCTCTTGATTGTTGTCCCAGCTAATTTATCTTCGTAGGCTTGAACTTTTTTTGTCCTTAATTAGATATCAATTATGTTCCAAATTGCAGTTGATTCCGAAGAAACTAGCCATAGCTGAAGGTCTTAATAGTGCAAGGAATGTAACGCTTAGAGATCCAAATGGGAGATTATGGTTTGTTAAACTTGTAATCCGTCCCAAGACATCTTGCAAACGTGTGGAATTCACGACAGGTTGGGGAGAATGCTGTCAAGCGAACCAGATTTCAGTTGGGGACACTATGGTTTTTGAGTTTGTCAAGCAAAGTGCAATTCAACTTCATATTTTCGCAGCAGTGAAGGGCAAGAGGTGTCCTGTGGTACTTGATGCCCCCAATGGTGAAAATTAAAGCTAGCTGACTCTCGAGTTTCACATTGCAATGTTTTTATTAAGAAAATGCTTTGACTGCAACATTTACTTTAGCATTTTGAGTAAACGATGGTTGTCTTGCATTGTATTATACGTTATGTTTCATTCCTCCACTATTTGATTTCTCTGAATTTCCTGTCTAGTTGAATTTGTACAACGGGTAAAGCTATCAGGGGCATATCTCTTTTGTTTTTTTCCTCCAATTGGCCTGGCCCATTTTTTCCAGTTTTCCAGCCCAGCCCAGCTCATAATTAAAATTTGGGCGCTTGTTCTAGCTCACCTAGAGCTGTCAAACCAACCAAGTTGGCCCCAAGATGGCATGGGCACGGCATGATTAAAATGTGCAAGGAATGGCATGGTCACAACATTGGTCAGGCTCGAGATGAGCATGACATAATACATGAGCTAGGCCGTTCGACCAGAATTTTAAATGCATTAGGCACGGTACGAGCTCAGAACGAAATAGACCCAAACTAGGCACGACTCAAGCGAAAATAATCTTAGTGTTCGAGTACATGAAGGAAAAATAATAATAGGATAAATTTGACTGAAAAAATAAAAATAAAGTTCAGCTTATAGGCCCAGCTCACTTAATGCATGATACAAAGTTGGCATGAGCCCAACTAGATTGTGGGTCATGCCGAGTCTAGGTCTTAAGTAATTAGACCATTACGAGCATGATTAACGTAAATGGGCCAATACACATTCATAATGAAACATGAATTGACCCAACTTAAAGGAATTGGGCCATTCATTTGACACCTTCCTTCAAATCCAACCTAGCTAGTATTTTCTTGACAACAACAAAAAAACCTAGCTAGTATTCAAAAGTTGGTTCTCTCCAGTGTGTATTTGAAATTTTTTTTTTTTCTCAAAATGGGTGCATGTTGTTTGACAATTATAGCCACAGTAACAACAACAGAGAATAGATCATTTAAAAAAAAAAACGAAAGCATTAAATAGTATTTGTATTATAGTTGATGGGTAAACCGGGGAAGGTGAGATGAGAAGCTAAGGATCCTATGCTGGTGATTGCATTATTGATGCTGTTTGGGGTAAGGTTACCTCAATTTGTTCTTCATTTTGGGAAAATCAATTGTGTAAAGCAATCCAAAACTAGGAAACTGCCTAGCTGCCATTTTCAATGACTTTGTAAGTTCGTATAGAGTAAGCATCAAATATACACTTAAAGCAATATTATAGGAAAACGTCTCTGGTATAAGTAAACCAAATTGAGTCATGAAGGTCAATTCCGATTGCAAACCATGTGGTGAATATTAAAACACAATTATGAGAGGTTGCATATATCACATGTAAACTGGAAAAAATTAAACAACGTGTCGTCATTACAAGTAAACTGTTCACACTCTCCTTAATTCTCAGCTCCCTTATTTCCCCAAACTGAATTCAGCCAATCTTCTAGCTTCTTCTCAGTTCTCTCTCTCTCTCTCTCTCTCTCTCTCTCATACTAGAAGGAAGCCTTTTCCGGTCAAATGGCGAGGAAGCCAACTAAGCGTTCACCAAAACTACCATCATTTTTCAAGGTCCTACTGGGTGATGACTTCCCTTGGCAGCTGGTAACATCCTATATATGCTAGCCCTCTCTTTGACTTTAATTATTTTTTTATTTCTTTCATGTATTAGTATTTAGTACTTTGACGTCATACAATTTGCACTCTGTGTATTGAAAATATATGGTCAGTAAAGAAGCTTGTGAACTTTGCAGTTTCTACCACCTGCCTTTACGGTGCACTACAATGGACCATCTCACTGCAAATGTGCCCTTAGAGGCCCTACCGGAAAATGGTGGACAGTGGGTTTGGAAGAGAGGGAGGATGGGTTTTACTTCCATGAGGGTTGGCCGCGTTTCATGACAGACCATTCCTTAAAAGTTGGATACTTTTTGGTGTTTGATCATCAAGGTGGCTCAAAGTTTGATGTTACAATCTATCATCCAATGGGCTGTGACATGAGAAGTATGGGCAACTCTGTTAGGCCTGGAAAGAGACCTGCAACTGCTGCTGCTGTGGAAGAAACATCAACTGGATCCATCGTGTTCAGATCAGAGCATCCATGCTTCATAGGAATTCTAGGCAAGAACCAGTACCGCATGGTGAGTAGTACTTTTGTCAGCCGAATTTCTATGCCAATTATGTTTTATCAACGTTATCCCCTATTTGTGATTGGAAGTTAGTAAAAGAGATCTTTGAAGGGTTCAATCGAATGAGCATTTTCTTTCCCTCTAATGATGTTCCATATTGCAGAACATCCCAAAGGAGCTAGCTGTAGCTGAAGGCCTCATTGGAAAGGAGAGAGTGATGCTTAAAGATCCAAATGGGAGATCATGGAACGTTAAGCTTAGGCTTGACGCAAAGGAGCATCATGGTGGTCGTTTGCTCATGGCACAAGGGTTGGTAGCATGTTGGCAAGCGAACAACATTTCGCTCGGGGATACAATCGTTTTCGAGCTTGTCAAGAGGAGTGAAATGGAGGTTCATATTTTCAGAACTGGAGCAGGAGGAAATATGCGTTCTGTTGTGCTTGATGCCTCCAGTAGTGTCAAACATTAAACCTCTAGTTTACTTCATTGTCTAATGTTCTGTCGTGCTGGATAGCATGTATTTGGCTCCCATGATTAAAGTTGTATGCGCCTTTGTTTGGTTATGAAAGGGAAAGTCTATCAAAATTAGAATTGATTGAAAGGTTAAGATGGACACCAATCTCAGATAAATCAGCTTTCAAAGTTGAATATCAATCCCACGGACTAATGATGGTTCAAACTCAACTTGATCTCTCCATCTTGTTTGTATCATTGCTAATTTTTCATACTGGTTTTCACATTTGTTTTGGGTCTGAAAAGCTTCATTCATGAAAAGCAAGAGAGGTCTGACACAGGAAAAATTAATAACAGAAGGAAAAAAAGATTAAAGCAAAGCAAGAGAGGCCTAATGCAACCAGTGCACAAGATTTGCTGAGGCAAAATGCCCAAAAGACGTCCAAATTATATAAAACAAATGTCAGTGTCTCGGAAGAATTTAGTAAGAGAGAGAGAGAGAGCGAGAGAGAGGCAGCTATGTATTTTAAAATTTATTTCTCCAAAAGTTAGAGCATAGATGAGATAATTTAACATGATGAAAGCATTCATCAGGTGACGAGTAGTAAAAGAATCCCATGCTGGTTGTGGTTGATGTTGATCTCAATTTCCTTCTCCATTTTTGAGCAAATCACTTTTACCAAGCAATGTCCGAAAAGAGAAAACGAAACTTGGCTGACACCAACACACAGCTAGCAAGATGGCCTTCTCAATTAGTTGGTTTCCATCAAATATACATTTAAGGCAAGAATATGGGGAAGCTTCATTGAATTTGGATATGTGAACCCTATATTGAGTATATGATGTGTTTTCATTCAAAGAGTGCACATGCATGTCAATTTAGAATCTCTGATTTCAAATGTATGGATTTGGAAGAAAGTGAAAAGTTATGAAAGGATATTGAAATTATTTGTTGGTACCAAATATATTCAATTCACCTAAATTCATAGGTGAAGTCAATAAATTGGATCGATTAATAGGTCTCTCTAGTTGATGAATTTCATTATGATTCAAATATGAGTTGATAATTGTTGAGGCCCAAAAAAGTCACGAGAAATCCAAAGATATTTAAAGTCCAATATAACATATAATGTTGGTCATGCATTAATCCAAACTGTATTTTGGGAATTAATTCATTAAATAAATATAGAAATAGTGTGAAAATAATACATTTTTTATATGTCAATCACCTACCAAACTCACATGAATCCAAGTCATGTGATTTATGGGGTTTGCATGAGAGATTGTGGTGTGGAAGGTTACAGAGGTTCACAAGGCCCACAGAAGCTATTGGATAATGGAGACTTTGAGCTAGCTACTTGAGAGCGCCAAAGTCCAAGCCCATTACTTGGAGTTCTCCAATGTGGGTGAGCAAATGAGATATTTTTCAAGCACTTTCTTTTACCCATAAGAAATAGTCATTTTCCAAATGCTTAGCTTTGCCTGTTAGAAACAAGCATTTTCCAGCACTCCTTATTACCCGCTAGAAAAAAGCCGTTTCCAGTGCTTCCTTTTATCCATAGGAAATAATCAGTTTATATTACCTAGCTTGACTTGCTGGAAAATAGCATGCCCCAGTACTCCCTTTTAACTATTGGAAATAGGCTGATTCCAGCACTTCCTATTACCTATTGGAAATAAAGGAAAACTCTCACCTTCTATAAATTGGCATTCACGGCTCAGGCAAATAGCACTAATTTTTCTTAAACCATCAAGCCCCCTCATTCGACTACTGCAAGCAACACAACAGCCATCAACCCCCTTCTTCAGCCATCGGCACCTTCCTTTAGCTGCTAGAGCAGCATAACAACATCTTGCTTTGGCTGCTGTAAGCATCCCAGCAGCCATCAACCCCCTTCTTCAATCATCACACCTCCTTCCTAGCTGTTGCAAGCCCCCCAGCCATAACCTCTTCTCCTTGAAATCCACCATCTTCTCTATAAAGCCTCACCAAGCATAACTCCAAGCTTTTCTTTCCTTCCAAGCTATAAACACCAAAGCCTTCAAACCTTAAGCTTTTCCTCCCATCCTCATTCTCTTGAAACTCTTAAATCCCCATAGTCATAGCCACAAACAATAAATTCTCAACACCCAAACTCAAGCATATCAAACACCAAGCCAAGCACAAGCATTTTCATTTGCTAAACTTGTGGGTCTTTAGCTCTCACACTCCAAGCTCTCATGCCAAGCTCATATAATCTCATATCAACATTAACGAGTCATCTTCAACTCATCCAGAGCAAGCAACATCCTTACTCATTGCTAGAAGCTTCAATTTCAAGCTGTGTTCTTCCATCTTCTTCCTCTCTTTCCCATAAACACATCCAGAGAGAGCAAGCATCACCACTCACCTCTGGAATCTTCCATTTCTTCCCCTTTTTCTCTTCTAGCAAGTCACCCAAGAGCTTGACGAAGCTTTTGTCAAGCTGCTGGAAATCTGCTAAAGCCACTCATCCTTTATCTATCTATCTATCTATCTATCTATCTATCTCTCTCTCTCTCTCTCTCTCTCTCTCTCTCTCTCTCTCTCTCTCAAAAAGAAGAGAGCGAGAGAGAGGCAGCTATGTATTTTAAAATTTATTTCTCCAAAAGTTAGAGCATAGATGAGATAATTTAACATGATGAAAGCATTCATCAGGTGACGAGTAGTAAAAGAATCCCATGCTGGTTGTGGTTGATGTTGATCTCAATTTCCTTCTCCATTTTTGAGCAAATCACTTTTACCAAGCAATGTCCGAAAAGAGAAAACGAAACTTGGCTGACACCAACACACAGCTAGCAAGATGGCCTTCTCAATTAGTTGGTTTCCATCAAATATACATTTAAGGCAAGAATATGGGGAAGCTTCATTGAATTTGGATATGTGAACCCTATATTGAGTATATGATGTGTTTTCATTCAAAGAGTGCACATGCATGTCAATTTAGAATCTCTGATTTCAAATGTATGGATTTGGAAGAAAGTGAAAAGTTATGAAAGGATATTGAAATTATTTGTTGGTACCAAATATATTCAATTCACCTAAATTCATAGGTGAAGTCAATAAATTGGATCGATTAATAGGTCTCTCTAGTTGATGAATTTCATTATGATTCAAATATGAGTTGATAATTGTTGAGGCCCAAAAAAGTCACGAGAAATCCAAAGATATTTAAAGTCCAATATAACATATAATGTTGGTCATGCATTAATCCAAACTGTATTTTGGGAATTAATTCATTAAATAAATATAGAAATAGTGTGAAAATAATACATTTTTTATATGTCAATCACCTACCAAACTCACATGAATCCAAGTCATGTGATTTATGGGGTTTGCATGAGAGATTGTGGTGTGGAAGGTTACAGAGGTTCACAAGGCCCACAGAAGCTATTGGATAATGGAGACTTTGAGCTAGCTACTTGAGAGCGCCAAAGTCCAAGCCCATTACTTGGAGTTCTCCAATGTGGGTGAGCAAATGAGATATTTTTCAAGCACTTTCTTTTACCCATAAGAAATAGTCATTTTCCAAATGCTTAGCTTTGCCTGTTAGAAACAAGCATTTTCCAGCACTCCTTATTACCCGCTAGAAAAAAGCCGTTTCCAGTGCTTCCTTTTATCCATAGGAAATAATCAGTTTATATTACCTAGCTTGACTTGCTGGAAAATAGCATGCCCCAGTACTCCCTTTTAACTATTGGAAATAGGCTGATTCCAGCACTTCCTATTACCTATTGGAAATAAAGGAAAACTCTCACCTTCTATAAATTGGCATTCACGGCTCAGGCAAATAGCACTAATTTTTCTTAAACCATCAAGCCCCCTCATTCGACTACTGCAAGCAACACAACAGCCATCAACCCCCTTCTTCAGCCATCGGCACCTTCCTTTAGCTGCTAGAGCAGCATAACAACATCTTGCTTTGGCTGCTGTAAGCATCCCAGCAGCCATCAACCCCCTTCTTCAATCATCACACCTCCTTCCTAGCTGTTGCAAGCCCCCCAGCCATAACCTCTTCTCCTTGAAATCCACCATCTTCTCTATAAAGCCTCACCAAGCATAACTCCAAGCTTTTCTTTCCTTCCAAGCTATAAACACCAAAGCCTTCAAACCTTAAGCTTTTCCTCCCATCCTCATTCTCTTGAAACTCTTAAATCCCCATAGTCATAGCCACAAACAATAAATTCTCAACACCCAAACTCAAGCATATCAAACACCAAGCCAAGCACAAGCATTTTCATTTGCTAAACTTGTGGGTCTTTAGCTCTCACACTCCAAGCTCTCATGCCAAGCTCATATAATCTCATATCAACATTAACGAGTCATCTTCAACTCATCCAGAGCAAGCAACATCCTTACTCATTGCTAGAAGCTTCAATTTCAAGCTGTGTTCTTCCATCTTCTTCCTCTCTTTCCCATAAACACATCCAGAGAGAGCAAGCATCACCACTCACCTCTGGAATCTTCCATTTCTTCCCCTTTTTCTCTTCTAGCAAGTCACCCAAGAGCTTGACGAAGCTTTTGTCAAGCTGCTGGAAATCTGCTAAAGCCACTCATCCTTTATCTATCTATCTATCTATCTATCTATCTATCTCTCTCTCTCTCTCTCTCTCTCTCTCTCTCTCTCTCTCTCTCAAAAAGCTTTATCCCAAGTCTGAAACACCAATTCTTTCAAGCTAAGTTGAAACCATAGTCATTACTTTTTTGGTAAGAAAACGCAGACATCGTAAGCTCTTCGTCTAGCTGCCAAAAACACCCAAAATCTCAAGCCTTAATCCTTTCTTCATGCTCATTTTCTCTTAGCTCCCAAGCCACAAGCCTTTCATGTCAAGCCTAGTATTATCTTGATTCACCAAAGCAAACTCTCATACCAAGTCTGTGCAACATCGAGGTACCATATCCAATTCTTCGTCTAGCTATCAGAAACATCAGTACAAAACACACAACCGCTGGAAGAAGAACAGAGTACTCCCCTGGGACTTGCTTCTCCCTTGGGATGCTTTGGGCATAGTTCTCGCTAACTTAGAAAAAGGGGCAACGAAGGCTTGATTCACCACTTTTTGAGGGTACAATAATCAACAAGCCCGGACAAGCCTTCCGACGGAAAAAGACCCCAACAATAAGAAACTAAAAAAGGTAAACAAACAACTAGCATAGTTAGTAAATTCGCCTATCATATTGTACGTGCAGCGTACTTATATATTTTCAAAAATATATTTTTTTTTGCATACGCTTCTTAAATATACAGTAAAATACACGTTCTTTTATAATTATTATATATGTCCTTATGTATTATTTCTTCATGTTTTCTTTACAAAAAGTTAAATAATACAAGTAAAATTCACTTATTTTTCACATGTTAGTGAATACAAATACTATACATTAAAAACCTTTATTCGTATACAGTATCCTACTTTATGATCACCGGAAATTATTTGCTCTTTTTTGTTTCTTTTTCTTTTTCTGGGTATGAAGTTCACTTTCCCATGCATGTGCCTAATGAACATACTTTCCAAATCCAGCTGGAAATAAAAAAACGAATTAAAGACAAAGAAAAAGTCCAAACAGAGCTTAAGTGGGCAAAATCTAATACAGAACATTATGTTGGAAAGATGAGTGCTAAATTGCTATAAAATAAATAAATAATTACTGCAAACAAAACAGATTTTTACAGAAGGAGAATAGAATTAGAAGAACCTTAATTTAGTCGAGGCAAGTGTTGGACACTTTAACCTTAAGACGAATTACGCCCCACATTGGTGCTCATGGTTCACTAGCGTTCGCCTCCTAGGATACGACTCCCTTCCTTATGAAAGAAGTACTGCAATTCACAAGGAACTTTGAACCAAAATTATACATGAACCTCTCTTTATGAAAACTCTAATGCTCTCTATATATGGAAGTATGTATGTAGAGAATTAATTGAATGAATAAAACTGCAGGAGGATTGCTCTATTTATAGATGATGAAATACCCTTTCCAAAATGGTATTCCAATTTGAAAAGGCAAACAATGCATTCCTTGGTCTGAAGAGTTGTCACCCCTCAATTAAAGATGTTTTTAACCCAATGATCATGTCTTTAACCCAATAAATTTTATTAATTTCTATTCAAATAGAAAATTAATATTAAATAATATAGTATTAAATTTCTGACACATTAGACCCTCTTCCCCTTAAAATCTCTCAAACCAAAGAGCTGTAGTCACCACATTTGAAAAAGCTGTTCCTGAGAGCTCCCTCAGTTGGAAACTGAAACTGAAACTAATCTTCATCTTCGTAAAATTCCAGCTGATCATCCAGATGGGTAGAAATGCAAGTTCTAAGCCTTCACCAAAGATACCATCATTTTTCAAGGTTCTGGTTGGCGACTTCTCTCACTGTTTGGTAACATATTTGTTCCTGATGATGAGATATATCAAGTAGATTTTTGTGAAAATTATGTTGATCATCAGTCCAGTTTCTCTGTGTTTTTGTTGGTTTGCCAAAAAGAGTTTTGCTCTGTAAAAACAGAGTTTTCTCTGGATTTAGAGATGAAACCCTCTAGTTAAATGAAAGTAACTGACTAATTCGACTGAAAGTTACTCATCTTTTGGTTCATAACAGGATTTGTGTGTGTTGTTTTTTGTAATTTCTTTCTTTCATTTCTGTTTTTCTCTCCCTGTTCTTTTTGGTTTTTAAATGGACTGCCATATCATCATGGCTTGCCTTTTCTTTTCTTTTTTTTCGCTTTCTTCCATTTCTGTTTCTTTTGTCTCTGTTCTTTTCGCTTTTTGAAAGACTGCAATATCACGGCTTGCCTTAATTTTTTCTTTCTTTCTTCCATATCTGTTTCTTTTTTCTCCCAAACGACTGAAATATTATGGATTGGCTTTTTTGTTTCTTTGTTTCTTACATTTCCTGTTTCTCTTATCTCTGTTCCTTTTGCTTTAAAATGACTACAATATTATGGATTGTTTAACTGATTGTGGTATGGGTGAACTATTAGAAAGTTAGAACACAAAGAAACATTTGCTACTTCACCTTACCTCTGTGGCTCAATGACCAGTAGCACAATTTACAGACTCGTCAAACTCACACATTTTATGGCTTCTGTTTTACATACAATTAGGCATCAATTTCCTACCTATCTCAATTGTGTATATCTTGTGAATGTTATGTTATTGAATTTTGTAGAGTATACCACCCGAATTTATGAACTATGTCAATGGACGATTGCCTCCAACATGTACTCTTAGAGGTCCTAGTGGAGAATGTTGGACAGTGGGTTTGGAACTGAGAGGGGATCGATTTGTCTTCCATAAGGGTTGGCAGGGTTTTGTGAAGGACCATTCTTTGGAAATTGCAAATATTTTGGTTTTTGATTATGATGGCAAGTTCAAGTTTGATGTCACAATGTATGATCCAATTGGCACTGAGAAGGAGTTAGAACCAGCCGAGAAGAGAAGGGGAAATCGAGCTCGAGTAGAGGAGGAGATCATTGAGCTTGAAACTGAAGAACCGACGAAGAGAGTGAAGAAGATGCTCGTATGTCGAACATAAGGAAGTGTAAGTTGTTTACTATTTTACTTCTTTAAAGTTTGGGGAGTTTTGTATGACCTATATAGGTTCTTTTTTATATCATGTCTTTGGAATTGTATAGGCAAGTCTGGAAAGAGGATTGCAACTGATGGTGGGAAAGAAAAATCAAATGCACATGTTGTGTTCAGATCGAAGCATCCATGCTTCATTTGAGCTATGACGAAGAGCCACTATCGCCTAGTGAGTACTTTCTTCACCCAAATTTATAATCCAATTCAGTTATTGATTGGAAAAATAGTAAAAGAAATATTAGAAAACCTTTTCATGGACTAAAAAATGTCTAATTCAAGTATCTGAGCATTTTCTTTCGTTTTCATATTTTCAGAATATCCCAAAGGCGCTGGCTGTAGCTAAAGGTCTCATTAAGAAGAGTGTAAAGGTTGAAGATCCAAATGGGATATCAAGGGATGTTAAACTAAGGCTCGATGGAAAGGAACATCGCTGTGATCGTTTGTTCATGACAAAAGGGTTGTCAAATGTTTTCATGCAATCAACAATTCACTTGGGGACACACTGGTTATTGAGCTTTTCGACT